CGCACACACACACACAAACCATGTCCACCCTGCAGCTCCTGTCCACCAACTTCTGCCACGGCGGCGAGGTCCGCAAGTACAGCCACATGTCGGACACCATTTCCGGCACCCTGGCCGACTCGGCTGGCGAGGGCCCCTCCAAGATGCAGTTCAACGTCTTCGTCCCGCCGGCCGCCCTGGCCGGGAAGAAGGTCCCGGTGCGTGCGCCCAGCGCCGACGGACGGGCCCACCGGCGCCGTCGCCGTCTGCCGCGTCGCCTGTTCTCCCCCTTCCCCCTCTCCTGTCACTGACCTCCAGGCGTGTGTGTGTGCGTGCGCGCGCGCGCTCTCTCTTCCGTCTCTCTCTCTCCCCCCCCCCCTGCCCCTGTCCGTTGCAGCTGGTCATCTACCTGGCCGGGCTCACCTGCAACGAGGACACCGGCTTCCACAAGGCGTCCGGCCTGCTGAAGGCCCTGGCCGAGCATGGGATCGCGTGCGTCGCGCCCGACACCTCCCCCGCGGCCTGGCCCCGGTGGAGGGCGACCGCGACAACTGGGACCTCGGCGTGGGTGCCGGGTTCTACGTCGACGCCACGGTGGCCAAGTGGGTGGCCGGCGGGTACAAGATGTTCTCCTACGTGAACCACGAGCTGCCGGCTGTGCTGGGGCAGCTGGACATTTTGGTGCGTCCGCGTGCGGCCCCCTGTGCGCGAGTCCTTCGGCTCTCCTCTAACATTGAGCTCGGTCTGGGCGCGCGCTCGTGCATGATGTCGACACGCACACGCACACGCACACGCACACGCACACGCACACGCACACGCACACGCACACGCACACACACACACACACACACACACACACACACACACGCAGAACGGCAAGATGTCCATCATGGGCCACTCCATGGGTGGCCACGGGGCCCTGATCTCGGCCCTCAAGAACCCGGGCGCCTTCCAGTCGGTGTCGGCCTTCGCCCCGATCTGCCACCCCACCCAGTGCCCGTGGGGCAAGAAGGGCTTCGGGGCGTACCTCGGGTCGGAGGACCAGGCCGCGTGGGCCGCGTACGATGCCACCCTGCTGGCCAGCGCCTACCAGCACCCGGAGTCCGGCGCCCGGCTGCCCATGCTCGTGGACCAGGGCGAGGAGGACAACTTCCTGAAGGCCGGCCAGCTCCTGCCGGAGGCCCTGCAGAAGGCCGTGGCCGCCGGCACCCCGGCCGCCGAGCACATCGACGCCACCATCCGCCTGCACCCGCGCTACGACCACTCCTACTACTTCATCCAGTCCTTCGCCGAGGAGCATGTGGCCTTCCACGCCAAGCACCTGGGCTGCTAAGAGGCCGGGAGGAATGCCGGCCCACTGCCCTCCCTCCCCTGGGCGCTGTGGCCCGCGTGTGTATGTGTGTGTGTGTGTGTGTGTGCGTGTATGTGCCTCCCCTCGCGCGGCAGATGGACACACACACACACACACACGCAAATACACATGTATATCTATACATCGACATCGCAGTTGAATCTGTGTATTGATGCAGGGCGTCAGCGAGAGGGGGGCGTATGTGGGAAGAGGAGCAGGAAGGGGAGGGCGGGTGGAGATCTCGGGAAAGTACAAGGAGTAGTGCAACGGTGAACACACTCGCAGAGATTTCCCTTGGCGGCCGGAGGGGGGGGGGGGGGGGGGGCGGGGGGGGGGCGGGGGGGGGGGGGGGGGGGGGGGGGGGGGGGGGGGGGGCGGGGAGCGGCGGGGGGGGGGGGGGGGGGGGGGGGGCCGGGCGCAGGTGTGTACGCACGCCCACCACGGACCACGAAGACTGTACGCGGCGCGCGGCTTCCCCCCCCCCCCGGCTGGCGGGGCCCGCGGCCAGGGCGCTTCGTCTGCTTGTGCCGTCGGCGGCGGGCGACATCACGTGCCGCGCTCGTTTCCAGAATAATCTCGATGCCCGACGAGTGTGCGTCCGCTGGTGCGTCTGTCTCTAGTCTCCACGGCGGCGGGGTGTTTGGGCGTTGTTCCAGCCCCCGGCCGGCTGTCTGTCACCCCCTCGGCCCCGGCCCTTGGCTGCGGCAGCCCTGCGGAGCGCCCCATCCCCTCCCCCGGGACGTGTCGAGCGCGCGCGCGCGCGCGCGCGTGTACGTGTGCGTGAGCGTGTGCGTGTGGACCGGGGGAGGGGGAGGGCGCGCGGACGCGGGCCGGGGCGCCAGCCGGAGCGGGAGCTGGGGGGGAGTGGGGGGGGGGGGGGCGGGGGGGCAACGCATTCGCCCGCGGATGGTGGGGTTTCGCCTCGCTCTTGCCCGCCCTCTGGGCGAGGCGGCCGGCGGATGACGGTCGAAAAGCCAGCCCCTCGGCCCCTGGCACCCCTCCCCCCCCGGCAGCAGAGCTTACCTGTTTTGTCTCTTCCTCCCCCCCCCTTCCTCCTTTCTATCACCATGGCCACTTTGTATGTGTCCCCCTCGCTTCCCCCGCTGTCATATATGCACACACACACACACACGCACACACGCACGCACGCACAGCGCGCCCTCCTCCCGTCTCCTCCTTGACGCCGGCCACTGACGACCCGCCTCGGCTCTCGCCCTCCTGTCGCCGGCCCGGCGCCGCCAGCACCCCCACCGTCCTCTGGGCCCAGCGCAACAACCTCATCTACCTGACGGTTGATGTGCCCGATATCGACACCAACACCGACGACATCATCATCACCGAGGACAAGATCGACTTCCGCGTGACCGGCTCCGGCGGCAAGGTCTACGCCTTCACCATCGAGTTCTTCGCTCAGGTCAACCCTGATGTGCGTGTCCCGGCGCGCGAGGTCGCCCTGCCTTCGCGTGTGCCCCGCAGGGGCCCTTCCGGAGGGTTCGCCTTGCACTGACCATCGCCACTGGCTGCTTCCTCCCCCTCCCCCTGCCCCCTCCTCCCCCTGGTCCTGCTCTGTCGCGCGCCCTCCCGCGCTGCGTAGGAGTGCACCCGCGAGATCACCGGCCGCCATGCCTTCTTCACCATCAGCAAGAAGGCCGACGGCTTCTGGGATCGCCTGAACAAGGGCAGCGCCAAGGTACGCATGGACGCCCCCTCCCTCCTGCGCACTGCTCCCCCCCCCCCCTGCGTGTCGGCACTGTGACTCACGCACTTCCCTCCCCCCCCCTGACACACCACTGGCGCACAGCTCCCCTTCGTCAAGACCGACTTCGCCCGCTGGGTCGACGAGGACGAGTCCGACGACGAGCCCGACTTCCCCGGCGCCGGCGGCATGGGCGGCTTCGGTGGCGCCGGCGGCTTCGGCGGCATGGGCGGCGCCGGTGGCGGCATGGGCGACGTCGACATGGCGGCCCTCCTGAGCCAGCTGCAGCAGGGCGGTGGCGGCATGGGCGGCTTCCCCGGCATGGGCGACGAGTAAGCGCGCACAAGCACACCCTGGCGCCATGCATCCGGTCGCGGCGCCCTCCCCCCTCCCTACATACACACACACAGCATCCCCCGCCTTTCCCTCTCTCTCTCTCTCCCCCTCCCCCAGTCGCGTGCGCATGCACGCGCGCGGCCCTCTGTGCGGTCAATAAAACCCAAAACATCAAATGGCCCATGCGCGTGCGCGGCTAAAGGGGGGATCGCGCGCGCGCGCGCGCAAAAGGTGCCCCCTCGTGCGAAGAAAAACCCTGGAAAGTCTATGTATTTTAATGGTGCATGAGGGCTGGTGGGGGGGGGGGGGGGGGGGGGGGCAAGGACGCGAGCAGCCGGGCCGCCGGCGGGGAGGGGACACACACACACACGCGTCGCGGCCGGCTGCTCCTCAGAGGGGAAGGGGAGGGCTGTCTAGATGTTAAAGAGCTGCTTCAGCTGCTCGTACGCAAGGAAGGAGATGCCGGTCACCGGGGCGACCTTGATGAAGTTGATCGAAAGCCCGACGTAGAGGCCGCGCCAGCCCTCGGTTCGGAGAATGTGCCTGGGTGTGGGGTGGCCCGGCGAGTGGAGAAGCGCCCGCGGTCAGTACCAGTAAGCGACAAAGGGCGGGTGGAGGGGGGGGGGGGGATTCTCGCGACGAGGAGGGGCCGAAAAGGCCGAGGCCGGACGCACCCGAAGGCCCGGCGAATGGACTTGTAGGCGTCGGGCGCCGCGTGCGCATACAGCGGGGTGCCATTCTGCACGGCCAGCGGCCGGACGGCCTCCACTTGCATCCTCCGCCGGACGACATCCAGCGGGTAGGCCGCGGTCTGGGCCACACCGCCGGCGATGAACCCCACGGCCATGGCCACCGGGGGCGGCATGCGCAAGTCGCGATAATCGACGGCCAGGGCGCCGGCCGGGAGGTGGGCATTCTCGCGTGCGGCCAGGGCCCGCAGCGCGGCCGCCTTCAGCGAGTCATACGTGAAGAAGGAGACACCGGCATAGGGGACAATGCCCAGCATGGTGGGCCCGAAGCCGCGGAAGAGCCCGCGCGCGCCGCCCTCGTCGATGGCCGCGCGCAGGGCCCCGAGCAGGGTGGTGGCCTGCTGCGAGGGCAGCCCGGCCGTGCGGTTGACCACCTGGAAGGCCAGCCGCGAGCGGACCATGTCCAGCGGGTATGTCCCGAGGACGGAGAGCATGCCGGCGCCGGCGCCGGCCAGGGCGCGGGTGTATGGCTGCTCGAAGTCCTGGTTTTTGTTGAAGAACTGTGTGTTTGCAGTGGGGAGGGGGGAGTGCGTGAGTGGGGCTGGTGGTGGGCCGAGGGGTGGGGGAACAGCAACAACAAAAGCAGCGGCGACAGTAGCAGCAGCGGTAGCAGTGGTGGCAGTGGTGGCAGTGGTGGCAGTGGCAGCAGTGGCAGCAGCGGCAGCAGCGGCAGCAGCGGCAGCAGCGGCAGCAGCAGGGATAGCAGCAGCGATTGAAACAGCAGCAGCAACAGCAGCAACAACAACAGCAGCAGCAACCACGACAACCGCAACGACAATAGACAACGCATCGGGCGACCCCAGGCGTACCGCTTTGATTTGCTCGTAGGACATGAATTGGATGGCCGCATACGGGAAGATCCGGGCCAGGGTGGCGGAGTTGCCGCGGAAGAGCCCGCGCAGGCCCTCCTGCTGGTGGATGGTCCGCAGGGCGCGGAACACCCCGAGCAGGGTCCCCCGGTGGCGCGTGTACTCCGGGTGCCCGGCCTGGAAGAGGATCTTGGCCCGGTCCAGCGGGGCCACCGAGGATTTGGCGATGCACCCGGCCAGGCCGCCGGCCAGGAAGGACCGGCTCATGTAGGAGAAGGTTTGCTTGTTGATGGGCGGCGTCGGGGTCGGCGGGGCCTCCCGGTCGGCCGGCGGCAGGGACCCGGCATCTTGGTCCACCGGGCTCAGCTCGATGGCCGGGGCCGGCATGTGCTTCTTGGCCGGGCTGGGGAGAGCCGACGGCGCGGGGCTTCCGCCAGCGTCGGGGGTGCTTCCCATGTGCGTGAAGGGGGCGAGGGCGGGGGCAGGGGGGAGGGGGGAGTAGGAGCTGGGGGCAGGGAGGGCGAGAGGGGGGGAGCAGGGACAGGGTGCGTGTATGAAGAGGGAGAGAGAGAGAGAGAGAGAGGGATAGGGTGGTGTCTGGGCGCCAGGCGGGCGCCCCGGAGCCGAGTCGCGGCGGGGCGTGAAAAAGCACCGCAGGATCATGCGCGTCTCGGCCGGCCGCACCACCCTGCCGGCAGACGCCCCCCCGGCCGGCCGGCCGGCCGCGGCAGGCCCGCGCCTCCGGAGCCCAGGGGCGGGGAGGGGGGAGGTGCCAGTCAATCGGCCACCGACATGGATGGCCACATTCACGCTGTTTCCGTCTCGGGAGAGGGGGCGGGGGGGGGGGGGGGCGGAGGATCGGCGCTCCGCCACCTGGCCGGGACCCCGGAAGGCGGGACGGAGCGATGGCCACGAGAAATGGCTGCTTAGGTACGACGACGACCACGACCACGACCACGACGGGATTGTGGTTCCGCCGCGGGGGCCCCTGTGCCGCACGCGCGCGAACGCAAAAGCAAGCAAGGCACACGTCCGCCGCCGCCGCCGCCGCCGCCGGGATGGATCTCCCCCGCGGCCTGGAGCGCCGGCGCTCTAGAGAACCGGCCCCGGGCCAGATGATGCCCCCGGGCTATCCCGGTCCGGTGGCAGCAGCCCCGGCGGCCCGCGCTGGTGGCGTGTTCCACCTTTCTCCCCGGGCGCGACCGTGTGTGTGTGTGTGTGTGCGTGCGTGCGCGGGGGCGCGGGTGTGCGGGTGTGTGAGCGTAATATGCCGGGGGCGAGGTGCTCTTCCGCGAAGCCCGTCCCCGGCCTGGGCGAGACGCCGCCCCGCGTCCAGGGGCGCAGAAGGGTGTTGGCCCTGGCGGGGACGGGGGGGGTGTTTGTTGTTGTCCCTGCCACCAGGCGGGGGAAGGGGGGGGGGGGCGGCTGCCGGCGCCCCGTGAGTGCCCCCGCCCCCGCGGGCCCGCCCCGACGGGCTGCCAGCTGGGAGGCGCGGCAACGTGCTGTGCCACCCCCGCAGGCTCTCGGCCTGCGGCGGGCGGCATGCCGCGAGGGGAAGGGGCCTGCGCGGGCCGGGGTGGGCCAACTGCCCGGCAGGCGCCGGGAGTGCGTGCGCCTTCTCGCTTGGCCGGAGGGGGGGGGGGGGGGGCGCCGAAATGGGCCCAGGGAGGGGGGCCGACGGAACAGCGGGCCGCGCCCCGCCCGGGCCGCGGACCATGCATCTGCACGGCGCGACCCACGTTCTCCGGTGGCGGCCCCCGGTGGCCGGCCGCGCATGCTCCCCCCCCGCCGCCGGCGGCGGAGCCCGGCCGATGACGATGCCCCGAAGGACCAGAACGCGTGTCAAAAATGTGCGCCAAATAGACCCGGCGCGTGGCGTGATTGGGCAGGCGGTCTCCCGGTCTCCCGCGTGATCCGGCCCAGTGGTGGCCCGTGCTTGGGCCGTCTGGCACACTGGGCCAGGGCGTTTCGGCCTCCTCTTGCCGGGCCGCTGCGACAGCGTCGTTGCGCCTTGCATGCGACCTGCGCATCTGCTGACAGGGACAGACATGCTAAATCCCCAAATGCCGGCTCGCGTCCATACACGGACGGGGCCTACCGTGGGGGCCACACCGCCGCCCCTCAGGCCTGTTGTCGCCGCTACCCGGCGCCACCTCCCCTCTCCCCCCCTCCCCCCTCCCCCAGAAACACTGCCCCCTGCTGGACGGAGGATCGCTCCCCGGCCCCGGGGCCAGCGCGTCGCCGACCGCCGCCACCGGGACACCCGGCGCTTGGACTGGCGGGCAAGTGGCCTGTCACCCGTGGCTGGGCCGCGTGTCGGCGCGCCCGCTGCAGGCGCAATGCCGCGGGCGCGGGCGCGCGGACGACACAGCATGTGCGGAGGGCGCCATGGCGGGGAAACATTCAATTGCCAAAGGGGAAGGGGGGGGGGGGGGCATCATCGGCACCAGCGGCCAGTGAGGCCGCCGGGATGTTTGTGTATCGCCTCAGCCAAGTGGTCAGATCATCGGGGGCGCGGAGGCACGCGGGCGTGCGTCGGCGTTCGCACTTGCTCCGCGCCTCCACAGCCCGCGCCCAGCCCGCCCTCCGGAGGGGCCGGAGGCCCGTCCACACGCCCCCCGCCCCCTCCCAGGCGGAGGGAGGGGGCAGTCCCAGACCGGGAGGGCGGCAGGAGACGCCGGAGGCCCGGTCGTGATGGGAGAGCCCGGCGGCGGGTGGCGAGGAGGAGGGCGGAGGGCGGAGGAAGGGGGAGGAGGAGGAGGAGGAGAAGGCGAGCCGGCGCGGCGCAGGCCCGCGCGCGCACACGCGCACGCACCGGTCAGATAAGATCATTGTGTGTATGGCTCCAGGCGCGCACGGTCGCTGGCCGGCGGCCACACCGGCCGGGCACCACAAAAGGGGCCCCCGGCCCCGCGAGCTCCCACCGGACGCCGGGCGCATCTAACGATGGTAGCTGCGGCCGGGGCGGCGCCCGGAAAATCGGCGGGGGGGGGGGCAGGGTCACCGCCGGGCCAGGGGGCGCCCGGCGAGAGACCGCACACGTGACTCCCCGGCATTGTCAGGAATGTGCGGCCGGGCGGCCGGGGGAGAGGGCGCGAGAGAGATCCCGGCGGGGGGCCGAACTGGGAGCGGGGGGGGGGGGGGGCGCGCGCGCCTGTGCCGGTGTGTACTGATGTGCGCGGATGGGCGCCCGTTCGCGGGGCCCCATCGGCCGGGTGCCGCAGGCGCCGGCGGAGACGGGGCAGCCCGGAGAGGGGGCGCGCCGGGCGCCCGGGCAGGAACCCTAAACAAAACGGGTCGCGGGTGCCCGCGGCTCCGGCGCGCGCGTGCCGCAGACACATACCTCGGGGTCGGTCGAGGAGAGGGGCCGCGCCGGGCCACGGGCCGCGCCGGGCCACGGGCCGCGAGGCGGCGCAGAACCCTGCATGCACAAGCGCCGCCGGCCGCGCCGGGCGGGCCGGCCTGTGACAGCCGCCCGCCACCAGCCCGGGAGGGGCG